GGGGGGGCACCTGCGTGCGGGCGCCGTTTTGGGGTGCACGGGAGAGCTCAGGTGTGTCCGTGCAGTTTGGGGGGCCCAGGTGTGTCTGTACAGTTTTAGGGAGCTCAGGTGTATCTGCAGTTTTGGGGGCGCTCAGGTGTCTCTGTACAGTTTTGGGGGTGCTCAGGTGTGTCCGTGCAGTTTCGGGGGGCCCAGGTGTGTCTGTGCACTTTGGGGTGCTCAGGTGTCCGTGCAGTTTTAGGGGGCCCAGGTGTCTCTGTGCAGTTTTGGGGCCCAGGTGTCCGTGCAGTTTGGGGGGCTCAGGTGTGTCTGTGCCGTTTTTGGGGTGCTCAGGTGTGTCCGTGCAGTTTTGGGGCTCAGGTGTGTCTGTGCAGTTTTGGGGGGGCCCAGGTGTGTCTGTGCCGTTTTTGGGGGGGCCCAGGTGTGTCCGTGCAGTTTTGGGGTGCACAAACACCTGAGTGTGTGTTGGGGGCTGGGCCTGCACCAGGTGAGCTCGCAGGGGGTGCAGGTGGAGCCTGGGGGAGGGGTGTGCAGATTTGGGGGTGCCCACACGAGCCTGGGGGGCACCTGAGCGTGTGCAGGTGAGCAGGGGCTGCAGGTGTACAGGTGTTCAGGTGTACAGGTGTTCAGGTGTACAGGTGTTCAGGTGTACAGGTGTTCAGGTGTACAGGTGTGCAGGGGGTGCAGGTGAGTGTGCAAGGAACGCACACCTGGGGGGGCGTGGCTGGGGGGGTTGTGTGCAAGGTGGGTTCACGTGGAGAGGGGAGTGAGCTCAGGTGAGCTCAGGTGAGCTCAGGTGAGCTCAGGTGTGAGCTCAGGTGAGCGCGTGTACAAGGGCGTGTCCTGCTCGTGTCACCTGTACAAGGCCTCGGTCACGGGGAGGTTTTGGGGACCCCTCCCCACCTGGGGGTCCCTCCCCCGGGGCCGTCTCGTCCCCGTGACCTTCAGGTGCCCGGGGGGGGACACGGGGGACCGCGTGCCCCTCCCCCACTCACAGCCCCCTCCCCCTAAGCGCCCCCCAGGGCTGGGGGAGGGGATCCCCCTAAAGACCCCCCCGGGGTGTCCCCAATGTTTGGGGGCTCCTCAATTCCCCCCCGACCCCTCCCCCCAGGTGTCCGCGCGCCCCCTCCCCCCCGTTATCAACCATCAGCAATCGATAATTAATTGTTTAATTAATTAATTAATGACGCCCCCCCCCGGGGGAGTCAGGACACCCATGGAGGGGGAGGGGAGGCACTGGGGGTCTCTGGGGGCTCCCCCCGAGCACTGCCCCCCCCAGGGGATGGGGGTGGGGGTCGCTGTCATCCCCCTCCCCCCTTTCCCCCCCCCCTTGCAGGTGCAGCCGTTAACGTGATTGGCTAATTATGCGCTGCATGTTAATGAGCCCCATTAGCCAATGAGGGGGGGTTATAAATAACCTGGGGGCTCATTTGCATAATGCCAGGCCCGGGTTGCCGCGGTGACCGACCCCCCCTCCCCCCCCTTATCACGGGGTTAATTAACGCGCTGATAACGAAGGGGGGGGTGGGGGCTCGCTTGCCCAACCCCCCCCTTACCTTACCTGGCT